AGTATTATAAATATATAAATGTATAAAAATAAATTACATATTTAATAAATATTTTACATGAAATCTAAAACTATAACCTATTATTGTGACATTGAAATTTACAACCAAAAAAGAATGCATATTTCGACCTACTAATAAAAGGGGAGTTGTTAAAGGCCCCACCCACATTTTGTTAACACCACACCCCTCCCCCCACCATCTCATGATTAATTCAGTCTATCCCCATCTCCGTTCTCATCAGAGACCCCAGTTCCCAATTCCCAATCCCCGGTTCTCAACCCTGGTCCTTCAAATCTATCTTGTTGAAGAACCCCGGAGACACTTATAAGGCTAACTCTGCGACCGTAACGACTGCCAACGTGTTCAACTTCCTGATCTCAACACCTTCAGCATTTCCGCGGTGCGAATCGACTTCGCAGCAGGCGGCAACAACCCATCCCATGTCCACCCTACAGTTACGGAGATTCTGTATGTGCTGCAGGGGAGCCTATATGTGGGTTGGAGAGTACTAATAACACTTTGTTCGCCACCACCCTCGTGATGGGAGACTTGTACGTGTTCCCGCGGGGCCTGGTGCATTTCTAGCTCAATGTGGGGATCGGCAACGCAGCTGCGTTTGCAGCCCAGAGCAGTCAGAACCCAGGAATGCAGCAGATAGCGCCGGCATTGTTCGGAACCGACATCCACGATAGGGTGCTGCAGAAGGGCTTCAAAATCAACGCCAGAACCGTGAACGCGATCGAGGCCCTATTCGCCCCGTAAGTGGCAACACTACCATGCTTGACAAGGCGCTGCCATGCTAAACTATGAAAATGTGCAATGCGATGGAAATGGGCTCATCCCCGGGAGTGAGAGTCAGCCAGCGAGGGCCCGGGGTCTAGTAACTGTTTTTTTCACTAGTTAGCATTTGTGTCGGCTTCGTGGGCATCTTTCAGCTTATTGCAGTAGCCACTCTAAAATGTTCAAATGTGCGTAGGTGTAGACTAAGGTGGAAAATGACACAGTTGTCGGATGGGCCCATGACTTAACCTCACTTTCGCTGGGAAAGTGAAAGAAACATTAGACTTTTGAAAGGTGCACTTCTCGACCTTGATTTCATTCTGAAGTACATGCATGAGCTACGTATTACAGTCGGCGGCGGTCTATTGAACTTGCCCAACTTGAGTCAAAATCACCACACATGTTTGGATTCCTCTTGTTGTTCGAGTAGGACCTGATGGCTTCACATGTTGGGCACCCTTGCACAACCCACAGTTCGCTTGGTGCTTTTCTCATCGGTAGACTGCATGTCGTAACCTACATTATTGAACCTTGCTTTCGAGAATGTGGATGAATCTACTTGGAGACATTGAAGTGAAATGAATCTAGAGAGTTTCGCTCATGTTTCATTTTGTACATGCTTTTGTGCCAGTGCATCATTGGGTGATGTAGAATGTGTAAAGGTCACCATTCATTGAACCCTCACACCTCTAAGATAGAATCAGTATGTTTGTTCTCTGCATATTTTGCCGGAGAAGATGAGTTTGACTCAGTGAGTTGTTTTCATAACGTAAATGAAATCATGGTTGGTATGAATGTGCACATTAGCCTTTTCTATAAAATGGGAATGGGAACATGTGTTGAGAAAGGGGACATGGGTTTAGGATGGGAGACGAGGAACAAGGGGGTCAAGATGGGGGACATGGCTTGAAAACAAGGGAGGAAGGCTGGAGATTGGGAATGGGGGACAAGGGGTTGGGGATTGGGGACTAGGAATGGGGGACATGGAATGGAGAACAAGGGATTGGGAATGGGGATGTGGAATAGACTGAATTAATAATGAGATAGCAAAAGAGGTGTGACATTAACAAAATGAGAGTGTGGTTTTAACAACTTCTTATAAAAATTGTATGCTAATAGCATTCTTTGCTAAAATGAAGTAATAATGTTACACTTTAATTCTTTAATTGTTATGATATTATCAATATTTATTATTATTATATAAGCAACTAGTTTTTAATAAGTAACAAAGATACTACCAAACTAAACATTATCATTAGAATATCTTACTACAAGCTTTTTGTTGTGGTGATAAGATATAAATTACAATTTTAGATATTAGTATATCATTTTTTTTAATAAACAAAAAAAATTCCTGATTTAAATGAAGTCTACATTACAAATCAAATAAATTAGAATTGTGCGAAATTTAAAATATTTTAGCTCTTATTAGGTTATTGTTTTAAAATTTAAAGGGTTAATCAAAAAGAATTGATTTTAGTAAAATGTGAGTAATTCATTTATAGAAAATGTAAGTAACAAGATTCAAGTTTAGTATATATATATATATATATATATATATAGCAACATGATAGAATTTTAATATGAAAACTATTACAATAAAATAATTAATATTAAGAGAAAAAAATATATTTATAATCTAGTATAAAGTTACAAGACACAATGTTTCTAACTTAAATCACAAAGATTCATGATTTAGACTACAACAATAAATACATCAATATTAGAAAGAAAAGAAATTATATTTACAAAAATTAAACAATCAAATAAAAACCAAATATAAAAATTAAATATAATTTTATTTTATAAATAATTTTATACTTTTGTCTTTATGCAATTCATAAAATGAGTTTTTTTTTTTTTTTTTTTTTTTTTTTTTTTCCAAATTATTATTTTAGAACCAATATTTTTAGTGCATTTATGAATAATAATATTTAATTTTAATATAAATAATACTTTCAAAAAAATATACTTAATGCTTATACAAGTTATTTATTAACAACCATAAGCATTAAAAGTTGTGTTAATAAATATTATATTAGATATTGTTTTTAACTTTATTTAATGTTTTTTAAATTTAGTGATTAATTTTTATGCTAAGTATCAATTAAAAAACTCTACTACTAATAGATGTTTGAAAGAATAGATCCACACTTAAAATATAAAAAAAAATTGTTCTAAAATCTTTATTTCTATTTTTAATTTTTTTTTTTTTAATTTAGTAAATTTGGTAATTTAACGCCTTAACATTTTTTTAATTGATTATATTATAATAGGTGATTTAATAAAATAATATGATTTAAAATAAAACTATTTATTTTAATGTTTTAAAGATACATTTTAGAAGAAGATTATGAACATGCTACCAAAATATTAATCTTATAAATGTATATTGTAGTATAAGATAGATCACATTTTTTTATTTGGTCGTACTTAAAATTCACTTCAATTAAAGATTTATAGAATAAAAAAGTAACAATAACATTCTATTTTCTTTCAAATTACTTATCAAACTAATATTTTTGTTCATACAAAAATTAAGTTCTATGCATGTATGTTGATTATATTAGATTTAACAAAGTATCTAAAAATACTATATTTATTATTTATTTAGGATTAAAAACTCAACTTAACTATTTAAAAACATAATTAATGTAATATCTCAAACTTAGTATCAATTAAGATGAAAGAAAATTAAAAAATAGTTATTTCTACAAGATGTGGCCATTCTAAATAAAATTCAACTTTTATGGTCTAATTACTATAAAAAAATGCATATATAAATATATAAATAAATATATATAGTCACCTCATTTAACATCTTATTTAAAAATTTGAATGATTAATCAAATAATGATATGTACTAATTTTGTAAAAACTTATGTACAAAGACATTATGTCAAATTAATGAATAATATATTCTATAATTTTTATAATCAGTTTATCAGATATATTTTGTTTGGTTTTAGAGACAAATAAAGTCATTATAAGTAAAAAAAAAAAAAAAAAAAAAAAAAAAAAAACCAGTAAAATTGGTATTTGTTTTAATAATTAGTGAAAGTATTCAAAAAATTCTACATGTTTTATTTTTTATTTTTGGGAATTCCGTATTTTTATTTCTGATATTATGCATTAATATTGCACCAATTTCGAAATAATTCTTTGTATATATTTAGTAGAATTCTGAAAAATGCACAATAATTTGAATATCTTTTAGTTTAAAATAAAAACATGTATTTTTGCAAATCTTTTGGCAAAGTAGCTGCCATATTATTAATGTGCTATTTTCAATCCGACCATTATTTTTATTGCTTTTTGAACAATTTTCTATGTTGGAACTTCTTCTAAATAACGAACTTTTGACAATGTAAGTAATTCCTTTTTTCATAATATTCCGAGTATCATGTGTCAATTACTTGGTGGCAACTTTATAATTCAATCGAAATTACAAATGATAAAGATTCAAAATCAGAAACTCCTTCAATGACAACTATGTCCAATCTCAGTTATTCCTGAGATGTGCCAAGCGCATTCCATATAGTCGTTTCCGTAGATATTTAAAAGTGCTTCCAGAAAATGCCTATGAATCATACTATATTAGAGATCTATTTATTTATTATTTTTTAAAGCTATACATTTGTAAAACGGCATTGTCAAATCAAAGAGTAGCCATAAATCTCAATCAAAAAACTCTATGAAAACAATACTCAAGTAGTCAGAAAAATCGGTCAACTTGTTTTGCAAAGCTGCAAAAAACTCATCCTGTTGCGTGACTTCTAGCATGCCAAGTTTGACAATACTATTTGAAAGATGTGTTCTCATGTGATAAATAATTGGCATTTACACTCTCCTTTTAGGCAGAAGAATCATTCAGCAAAGAAACCTCTTTCACGTTCCTCCGGTTGGTTTCATGTCCACGATCAAACCCAATTTACAGAGATGAAATTTTAACAGAAACACTGCGCCCTTGAAAGGACATGTAAAATAGAAATGGAAATTTAAAGAAACAACCAACCAACCAACAAACCAACTCTTTCGTATGGAAAATGCGAACATTCCAATCCATGTCAATTGCATGCAAGTTGTCGTTTCGAAACTATCTTTGGTCTGCACTCCATGCCAAGATCAAACTTTCGTGAGGATATGAACTGTGTTTCTCTGTTGCAGGGTCAGAGACCAACCCTCCTGACTCTTAACACAATCAGTCCCCATTCCAGATGTTCGTTGGTAGCAATCTCGTGGTTGCAAATTGTTTGAATCTGAAACAATGTACCAAATCCAAAATGATATCCGACCCTGAATCCTACATCGGATGCCGAAGACTCATCTGCTACTGAATCGGCAGCCAATGTCAAAGTACCCACAAGGATAAGTTCGTAACCTCATCCTTAAGAATCCGCCACCATCCGCTGTGTGCTAGTCCAAACTGACACATGCGTCAGGACGCTATCTAAATGTTATACTCAACGAGTCTACAGATCGAGCAGCAAAGCATTGCCAACACTAGTATGTAGAAGAGTTGCAGCATCATTCACAGAGATCCGACCGAACACACTTAGCAAGCGCTCACAAGCTGGGCTCGTGTGCGTTTCAGTAGGATACTAAATTCAACGTCTTCAGCTATCAGCACGCTGCAGAGCTCTGCTATGGCACATGGTAGCCCCGTTAGCAGAACATGCTGCAACGCTTGAAAAGAGCGGTGCATAGCATTACTATTACACAATGATAAGGTGCTTTTTTACATCACAGGCGAAGAGATTGGGTACCTGTCGCCGCTTCTTCGTTGTCTGCGCTAGGACCATGCCTCCTCACACTGACCCCACCACTGACATAAATGCATGCTACTCTCTATCCCTCTCCATGCGTGTTGCAACGTAACCGTCGAGGTATCATTCAAGAATTCGCGACAGCTGCCTTCACAACTGGGGGACGAGATTTCTAATATGCTCGTACTTCCACTTCCACCACCACCACCGTGGGGCGGCTCCTAGTATGTGATAAACTACCGCCACCGACGTGCAATTGATCATGTCACCTCTGATAGGCGTCTTCGGAGAAATTCTTTACTGGAGATCCCGAGAGCCACCTAACTTTCCTCTTCCAAAATGAATGGGCAGGATCCGTCGTCCACATTAGCCAGTGGGTCATAAAATGGCGATTCCGGGTCGGTGCATCCAGGCACAATATCCAAATCACACCGATCTCCCTGAACAAGGTCAACAGGCACATGAAGCGAGTTACGCAAGCGTTGAAATAAACACTACATACAAGAAACTGACAACATCGGGGCACCAAAATCGTGCAGTCTGCAATCCAACCTAAGTAACACTTCTCAAATAGAAATGGGCGGTGATCGAATACCCCTTCTTGAATCATTCCTGCTGGGAAAACGCAGCGATCTTGAACATAGACAGAGTCCGGAAAGATTGCATTTTCGCACGCTCCTTCGTGTGCAAGCTCCTTTGCAAGCCCCTACACATTCAAATAGATCCACAGATCAAACGCAGACATTGATCCCACTTCCATGTACACAGTCGAGCATAACCTCCACTATTTCATGATGAACATGGCCGAACACTTCCCTTGCACTTAAACAATCTGTCGAAGACCAGGCTTGTATTTCAAGTTGTATTTTCTGGATGGGCAAACATTGCAAGTGATTCAAGCTACATTGCTCTGTAGGACAATTCACTTTTTCTCAGGTACCTTCCAGTCAAGCACATCTCTATGAGTTTACCTCGTCAAAGTAGCTCTGAGGCAAGCCTTTCAACTTCTGAGGTACTTCCATGACCAACTTGTAAGGACCATCCCAGTTCTTCCCGTCAGTGAAAGAAAACTCCAAAGTCAATGCTGTGTGACATAAAAAGACTAGTGTCAGTAAATGCCGCAAATGTAACTACCTAAGATGTCAGGATATGTGTCCTCGTGAAAAGGTCACATTTATCATTTCGTTTGACATCCGCAACATAGGCATGATCTGAATTCTGTGCAAAAACAAGGAAAAATCCTCAAGGTCATAACTGTCCACTTTGAAGGAATAAACAGATGAAATAGTACACTAATGTAGTTTCACAAAACCGTAACATCTATTCAATGAGGCCTTAAGCAGTCCCCGATGCAAGATACGAAGTGTATTTCCAGGGGCTTACCGTGTAAGGGCACGTTTATTTTGATGGCATATATGGTCTCGCATAGACTTCCACGTTCCTTCTTCGCCATGATACGCGGCTCACCACCACACATAATAGGTTGATTAAAACCCCCTGCATCAACACCAAACTTGATCAGAGCCTCTGTGGCACCTGAATGCAAAGGTGCAGAACAAAACATACAAAAGGGAAACAAAGTTTGATATTGGTGTACCATTGAACCCGATTCCATATTCAGTGTTAGGTGTCAGCTCGCTAGCAGACGGATTAAAGTAGATAGTCAGCAGTTGTCCCTGCCACAAATAAATTACATTAAACATCATCGTGATATGTCCTCGATCCAAACATACCAGACCTATACAAAAGTTTTTGACATCAAATAGATAAAAGCGACTAACATCCATGCAATTAAAGCAATAGTAAGATGTTGCGATGCTTACAGAAGTTGGTGGTAGGCCATTGCTGGTTTCCCAGTAAACGGTAGCTAGCCCCATCTCAAAGTCTGCCCAAGTTGGTAAGCTGTATCTGTAACAGACGGTCAAGATAAACCTCAGTTCCTGATCATACTATTCAACCTGATGATACATCCAACTCTTATGCATGTGTAGCAGGAATGTGATCATATGCTGGTAACAAGTGCATCGAGAGGGCAACGTTTGCGGGGAGAGTTACAACAGATGTCTCATATCAGCGAGGTAATTTTCAGGTACGCAATGATTATTGGTACACTTAAGTTTTGAACTTACTGCTTCACGCCAGTGCTATTTACTACAGCTGTTGCAGTAGCCTTTCCCGCCAAAACTTTCGAGTTTTGAGACCTCACAACTTTCCCTTCAGCTGCTAATTGCAATCCATAAAAACGTGACACTGCACCACCGTCGGAGAAATCAATCATCAAATCCACAAAAACCATATCAGCTGGAACATCATTCTCACACATGATGATTGCACTTGATCGCAATGAGCCTCTTCAGTTACCACTCTAGAATGTGACTTTTGAGCTGTGCACTAGTTCTCACACGATGGCAAGGGCAATATTTGATCCTACAATTCGAAATAGCCTCACTTTGTTTATTCGGACAGATCACATCGGTGTCACAGATGTATTAGATGGGTTTGACAGAAATCATCGGCATCAGAAATCAGAGCTTCCTTGTCTCTTTACTACCAAGGAGATACCCAGCGATACAACACCGTAAAAACCACACACAGCATATCAGAAACCGCCACTAGCTACATTCAAACTCTTGACCCTTCATTTTGCCAAACACAGTTCGACAGTCTGCCTTCACCCCAAACAGCCTTCACACAATTATATCCCAAAGCAAGGACGACTACCAACCATACCAACCATTTCTATCCTTTCCAGACCCACTACCGAAGTTCACCAACTCAAGACTTCGCGAAAAAGCAAAATTCCCAAGAATTCCCACATCAAAAATCCCCGCCATCACAAATCCTGACACACGACCCATCTCCACACTGAGCACAAACACCACTAGACCGATGAGCCACATATCATCATCTCATCCACTAGCACAGCAAATCCAAGAGGGACCCAAGTGCTCCAAAGCAAAACCACTGCCACTAAACCAAGCAGAGTTCCAGGATATACCAAGACTGGACGCAACCGACGCCTTAGTCGCCCGTCGGCGGATCCCAGCAGCCTCATGGCTCGACGATGCCGCGCTGCAACAAGCTGCAGCGCCCGAGCCATTGATGTAGACGAGAGTGGCCATAGTCACCCCTGCTGCTGCTCCTACTCCTGCACCTGCGTGAGATTGGTGAGCCTTTGCCTCTGTGTGGGAACAGGAGGGAGAGCTAGGAGTGGAGAGGCGAGACAAGGTAGGAGGCGAGAAGCAATGGAGCGATGGAGGGAGTGAGAGAGAAGGGCAGTGAGTGTCGTGTGGACACGATCCACTTGGATAACGCCCCTTCTTTCCCTGGGCATCGCCCCTTTCCTTCTGCCGCGTACCCTTCGCAGGGCGTTGGCGTCGGCGTTAGCGTCGCCTTTGGATTTTGATTCTGCATTCGCTTTTTAGCTTTTGCTGCTCCGTTGAACCTCGTCACACTTCACAACGGTGCCCTATTCCTGGCTTTGGCCGCGACCCCACCTTCATGCCTCGCCATTTCAGAGGCACAATTTCATTAATGTGGCACACTGATTGCAATGTGAAGCTTTTTAGGAATGCACATGTAAATATAAGGAAAAAAAAAAAAAAAAAAAAAAAAGGTTTACTGTTAGATTTAGTTTCATCTAGCGTTATATATTGTTTCTGTAATCTTCTTGTGTTAATCAATCCTGACCTTTAACAAAATGTCTGTATATATGTATGTATGTATACATACATATTCATACATACATATTTATGTGATAACTGTCTTTTTCTTCAAATAATATAAATGTATTATCAATTCACATTCATAAAAAATATTAAATTGATAAAATTTAATAACAAGTAAAATGTTCACATACTACTCTAATCTTTTATTTATGTGCTTCATTATAGATTTTTCTTTTTATTATTTCTATTATTTCTATCAGATTGATATTTTTATTCCTTTTTTTAACAGTGTGTTTTTTTGGAATATATATATATATATATATATATATATATATTATTGTAATGAGAAACAAAATTCTATAACATCCTTAACAAATTTTATTAAATTGTGTTAAAAAATCAATACCATTTTCTAAATCAATTATATATATATATATATATATATATATTCTTTTCTACCAAAGTAAGAAGTGTTTGTCTATACACAAGACAATTTCACAATACATGGAGGTGAGAGTTGTATCTTACAAGATAGTTTGATGTTTTGGAGGGAGAAACTAAGGAGATTCAATGATGATTTTGTAACAATTCAATAATCTCCACAATGTCCTTGTCAGAGTTGCATATCTAATTTGTGTTGTAGAACTCCAATGCTTTATGGATCCCAAGTGTACAAAATTTTGAGTTCATCATCTACCCACCTACACATTTCCTCTTACAAATATTTTGCAAAGTTTGATCAATGCCAACACACTCCAATCTTATAGTAGTGACCTTTGCCATATTGAAACATAGAAAGCATACTCCACACAAGTAAGTTAGGACCAGCAAGGTTGCACTATAACAAATAGAGTGTGGTATGAGATAATTCTTCCCATGCCAACCCTTTCTTTATATACTAGTACCAAGGTACCAAGTGCTACAATCCATATGGGATATCTCCTAGGACCAGCCCTCCCCTTGTACTCTAATGCACTATAGACCAGCACCCTACCTTATGGGATATCCTTAACAACACTTGTACTCTATTGACCATTAGCAACTACTTAAAGAGTTCTTTTCTCAACACTCCCACTTTGCTATTGGTCAATTAGCTCTCAATCCTAATGCCTGATTCAACTTGCTGTGTCCTTCTCTAACTAAGGCTTTTGTCAACAAATCAGCCAACATGTCTTTGGTTTCACAATACATCATATCAATAACCTCCATCTCTATCTTCTCTCTTATGAAATGATGCTGAATATCAATGTACTTAGTTCTTGCATGATGCTTTGGATTCTTTCCAAAAGCAAGACATCCTTGATTGTCACACCTCAATGGAGTAGCCTCCAATTGCACAAGTCCAATATCTTCCAATAACAACCTCAATCAAATTGCCTCCATTGCTTTATGACTTGCTGCCAAATACTCCGCCCCTATTGTGGACCTTGCAATATTTGGTTGTCTCTTGCTATTCGAAGATATGGCTCCCACTCAAACAAAGAATACATAGCCCATTGTTGACCTTCAATCGTTTGCATCTCTCTTGGTTCTAAGCACCCACTTACATCCAATTGTTGTGGAAAGATGTGGTTCTTTCACCATTCACCTTGTGGTCTTCTCTCACGTGTTGGATATCTTCTTTCATACAAAGAAGATGAGCCTTCTTGCACCTCTTGCTGCCTTGTATGACTCATGGAGTGCTTTCTCTTACTCATTTGTTGGTATTCTTCATCTTCATTCTCTTCATTGTCCTTGTTGTATCTTGCTGGAATTGAAGTCTTCATAGTATTGGGCTCTTCTATCATGGCAACTTCCTCTCCTTCTTCACTTTGAGAATGCACTTCTTCATCTTCTTGTTTGTTTGCTGGAATTGAAGATGTGTCCACAAACACACCACTACTCCCACTTGGACACATCTCCCACTTTTCACTACCACTCATAGATGGTGTCCTCATGGATCCACAAACATCCGAATGCACAAGCTCCAGCAATTGATTTGCTCTTGTTGCAACTCCTCTAGGAAATGGTGTCCTATGTTGTTTGCCTTGAATGCATCCCTCACAAGCAAGATTCATGGTATAATGGCCAAGGTCTATGCCATTTACCTTGGATTGAAGCCCCTTCATGCTTTTGGCATTCAAATGCCCAAGTCTTTGATGCCAAATGCCCATCTTCTCTTCATTTGATGGAAATTCAGCAAAGGCAGCAACCTCCACTCCATTGATCCTCTTGCAATTGATAATATAGAGATTGCCATTCCTAGTCCCTTTTGCTACTTCTTTGCCTTCCATGGTTCTCACAAAACATCCGTTCATGTTAAATTGCACTTTGTACCCATGAGTTATAAGTTTACTCACAGAAAGGAGGTTCTTCTTCATCTTTGGCACATGCAACACATCCTTGAGAGTGATTCTCTTGCTTATGCCCTTCACCACCACCTCCACTACAATGGTGCCTATTCCAATGGCTTGTACCATACAATTATCACCTAACCAAACCTTGGTTGCTTGAATTGGTTGATAAGTGTTAAATGAACACTTGTATGGAGTCATGTGTTTGGTACATCCGGAATCCACAATCCATTTGCTCATATCAAACATGGAAGGAGTTTGTTTTGCCATGAATGCAAAGTCTTCACCTCCATGGTCATGAAAAGCATTGTTGGCATTCTCTCTTTCTCCTCTCTTTGCCTTGAAACAATTTCTAGCAAAATGGCCTGGTTTTCCACAAATGTAACAAGTTTTAGGAGGATAACGTTGAAAAGGGGCACTTGCCTTACTTGGTCTTGTAAATAGTGCTGATTGCTCCCCAATAGACTCCTTTTGCTTTCTTTTGGTCACTTCATGGGCTAGTCTTGCCGTGACATAGTCCAAAGTAAGATCTTTTCTTGAAATGGACTCCAATGCCACAATGAGGGAGGAATAGGAGTCCGGAAGGCTTGAGAGCAATGTCATCACAACATCTTCTTCAAGTAAAGGCTTGTCAACAACAGCAAGTTGGTTTGCAAGTGCTTTTACCTTATTTACATGAGCCATGAGATCTTCACCTTCTTCCATCTTCACGGTGAAGAACTTTTGCCTTGACCATAGCACATTGGAAAGATTCCTACTCTCATAGACATTGCAAAGAGTCTTCCATGCATCTGCTGCTCCTTTGCAAGAAATGACATGAGCAAAGTTGGTTTCATCTAAGTTGGTGGCAATTATGCCAAAAGCCTTCTTTTCTCGTCTTTTGAAGTCCTTTTGCTCCTTCATGCTTGCCTCTAATCCAGGTGCCTCTTCCTCCTCACATACTATCTCCCAAAGATCCAATGACGCCAAAAGTAGCTCCATTTTGGCCTTCCAGTGGTGAAAGTTGTCACCTCTAAACTTTTCTACCATTCTTAAGCTATCACTCTCAAAAGATGCCATCTCAAGCTACAAGTAGGTCCAAAAATCTCTTGATTTGCAGTTGTAATGCAAAAGATATGACTACTCAAAGATTGCTGAACTACAAACTCAGAATTCGCTGTTTTGCAACTTTTTGCATACTTTGAGTCCAAATCACGTCTAAATGGTGGGAAATGCTATGTCATGTAATTCTATGGCTTTCAAACATCTCCCTCACTTCACCTCACTCAAAATGACTCAATTTCTCATAAAACTCTCAAATACTAGTGTTACTTCAGCAAAGACACTATCAAGGTCATGCACTAACCTCATACACTCACAAATCCAGGAGTAATGACTTCAACAAAACACTAGTAATACTATACCATAAGATCTCAACCACCAAACAAGCAACAAAGAAAATAAAATGCAAGAACAACTTACTTGGTAAGAGAATGTGGGCCCATAACCTATTGAAACATAGAAAGCATACTCCACACAAGTAAGTTAGGACCAGCAAGGTTGCACTATAACAAATAGAGTGTGGTATGAGATAATTCTTCCCATGCCAACCCTTTCTTTATATACTAGTACCAAGGTACCAAGTGCTACAATCCATATGGGATATCTCCTAGGACCAGCCCTCCCCTTGTACTCTAATGCACTATAGACCAGCACCCTACCTTATGGGATATCCTTAACAACACTTGTACTCTATTGACCATTAGCAACTACTTAAAGAGTTCTTTTCTCAACATGCCATACCTCCATGCCTCATCCCACCACAGCTTGATTACTCTTGGTACCCACATTAACACTTTGATAAGCTTTTATTCTTGTTAATGCTAAAGTAGCAACATTGTATGCTAAAATGCCAACTATGACAAAATAATTTCTTTGAAGTGAAATGGATTTTAATACTTGTGGTGGACTTTAGCTATTTGGCATGTGACAACCCATGGACAACAAAATTGACTGTGGATGAGTCTTTATGATGAGGTAGTTAAATAAAACTGCAATCATAGAGTCTGTGGATTTTATTTTATAACATCCTTGGCGTTGGATAAGGAATTCTGCAACTAACATGCATTGTTGCAACTAAATCAATTTACCTAGACAAAGTTGTCAATCTGTACTATTCTAGGATCTTTAAGTATACACTTCAATTGCACCTCAATGACTTGCTGTAATGTGTTATTCTTGAAGCAAAGTGAAGATCGTCTATGCCAGAATTTCTTCTAATTCCAAAATTACGTGTAACCCATTACAGATTATGGCTATAGACAAAAAAAAAAAAAAATCAAAATTGACATCAAAATGTATACTAGGAAGAAACATACTATTTTTCATTCAAGATTTTCCTTTGCATGATTGTTCATAATATGTATGCTATGTTGAAAAGAACAATTACAGGAAGAAAAAAAATTCATCTTTCCAGTAAATAATGAATATTACAGGCAGAACTACTCTTCTAAAATGAAACAAATTCAATCACCCAATCGTTATATTTTAAAAAAAGTCTCACTACAATTAAATCAATGAAAGAAAACTTTCGTTGCACAGAGGCAACACAGATTCAGAAACCTAATGCAAGTTACCATCAAAAGGAAGCCTGTAAAACCACATCCCTCATCAACACATCATCCTGCCAGACAGAAACAGGACGAGGTATACAGGGATGAGAGTACCATCCTGTAATAAAACCACACATACACATTCAAGTATGAATACCTGAACGACACACGCAGCTCACACACTGTCGAGACAACCAGCAGCGGCGTCGACAGGAGAATCGAAGCCGACGCGGTGAAGATCTCATGGCGCACGGCATTGGTAATAAGCTGCTTCAGAATCTCAATTACCCAGTTCGCCGTTTGTTGTGTAGCTGAACCCATCGCTGCTTGGTATGTCTATGTGCGAGCAGCGTGTGGGTTGGCGAGGAGAGGGGATCAGCTGGAGAGGTAATCTTTGGGTTTCGGGGAGCACAGGATGGCGGCGTAGAGGCGAAGCGATCGCAGCTGCGCGCGAAGGGGAGGCGTCAGGGGAAAGCGACTTGACGGATCGTGCTGGGCATTGATTGACACAGTTTCGGAGTGGTCGTCTGCATAGGAATGGTCGGGTGTTGTCGTTGCTATTGTGTTGCTCAGTGATAGCCGTGCCCGGTGCCTTCGCCAGCCAAGTTGGATTGTCACAGCCGCCCAAGTTTGCCAGCTGCAGGAGTGGGACCTCACGGCGCGCTTCAGATTTTCGTTGGCGAACTTGTGCTGGAAGTGTTGCGTTAAGTACTTCAGGTCCAGGGCGTCCAAGGCAAAGGCCTCGGTCACTGTAAGCGTAGTTAGTGTTGTGGTGGATAATGGGAGGTTGTCACGAAGAGGCTTGCTGAGACACCATGAGATGAGCTCATCGCCACAAAAATGACTCGGACCCAGCACACATTTGCTGGTCCTGTTGTGGCGTAACCGGTATGAGCTCCCTATGTTGCCTCGCACTATGAACAACATCTGTCTCACTGGCTCGCCTTCATTCAAGACCTATGGGAGGATTGACCACATATATTGAGCATCACTCGCAGCCAGGTTTGAGGTTTAAGATTTACGTATTTAGGTTGTAAGCGAATTCAAGTTCAAACAAATTAAAGCATCTGATTCCTGTCATTTCTATTAATGGATGATGAAGGCTGAACACACCGTCTCATTCTTGGTGAAGAGTTTCGGTTTGAGGCGTTCACATATGATGTTGAGGATTTGATCATCCACTTGCTCAAATAGTGGCACCTGCACATGAATCACACAAGCGATGTTTAATCCATGATGTTATTAGATAGTTATTCATCTGAATGCAGAATGTGGAAAGAGTAGACGCTGTATTGCAACTACAGCAGTGCGTGGATTTGGCATTCATGACATCCATGTCATACAGAGAGTATGTGAAAATGTACTTTGCGAACGAGTTCATAGCAAAGGTGGCGCTTGATATCGCGACGCAGACTCTCAGGAAGATCCCGAATAGTGGCCACCTCATCGATCCCACGAGTAGCAGCCCACATGTGCCGTTCGTATTGGCGCACTCGACGCCGTATTTCATTGGGCAGCTGCCGTCTCCGCATCCACCACTCGATGTCACGGGCGCGTAGCTGTGACTTGACCTTCCTAGCTGTAGTGGAGTGCAGGAATACCTACAGATACCAGGAACTGGTGTTGAGAAACTAGAGACTTTCACAAGCAAATGTGGTAAAGTGAATGCTGGATGATTTTAGTTCAGCATATTGAACCTGGATGTTGCCGATTAGCAAAGTGAATAAGAGCAGGCCGCAGATGATGACAAGAATGCTGAAAGTGACCTCGACAATGTGAGGTGTGGGAGACAAAGCATTGCCGAAAGAGCTGCCATGTATTCAAACGTAGCAAATTACCATCAATTCGGCTTCAGGATATAGTTTCAGTCATTCGGTTAAGATGATTAACTGGTTATAGTGCCGAGATACAATAATGTTTTGATGAAGGGATTTGAAAATTTCACACCTCATTGTCATTATACCCCAGAAGAGAGGGAGTACGATTCGGTTTATAGGAGTACGGATGTCTTGGACAATTGGCACTGCGAGCGAATAGATCCCGAAGCTGAAGTTGCCGGTGAGTGAATGGGCTCCTCCTTTGAGGCATTGGAAGTCGAATGCAGGATCTTCAGCCCAAGCCAGTCGGTTTGTATCGCTTGAGGGTTGAGCGCCATAGGAAATGGGGTTCGGGCAACCCATGTATGAGTTCACCTGACAGTTGGTCATGCCTTTGCACTGCAGGTAGATACAGCTCTCAACTCGTTGTACTGTGAGGAGGTACCATATTGATCCCGCAACCTGTGTTATCAAGATTCAGGGATAATTTAACAGCAGAGGATATTATTTGCATTAATATGGTGAAATCAAAAGGAATCGTGACGTGGAGACGTACATGAGCAGCACAGAAATAGACTGCCAGGTTCAACACAAACCCCCAGGAGGCACTGCCAAAGATATAACCGGTGACATGTTGTAGACGCCAGGCGATGAATATGAAACGCAGCACTTTGGGAACATATTGGATTAGAAAGGTGAGCAACATATAGTTCATAATCCATGTGGTGTCTCCACCTTTCACGACTTGGTTGGGTAGAATCACCCATAACATCACCTGCATATACGTATGCGCCCGCACACACAAACACAATTAGAAAATCTACATTTATTTGCAATGGAATGGCAGCAAATTGCAATCTCTCCTGGTATGAACTTCAGAATACCCAGGGTTAGAATTCTCTACCTGCGGTATAGGAAGGATGACAAAGATATCAAACCAGAACTGTGGCAGAGAACGCAGATACTGGATTGCCACGGTGCGAGCGTCCCACACAAGCTCCCCTTGCCCAAGAAACAAGGATTTCTTAGAAACATACGCTAATTTGAGTTGAAGCCACATGTGCCATATGTATACAAGGTCGACCATACACCTGAGAATTGTGACTCCAATTGCATATCCTTTTTGTACGTACAAACAGGAAAGGTCTTTGTTGATGGAGAGCACTGAAATGAAGAGAGGGTCTACAGCTGCCCCGAGCACGCAGGAGAGCAGGAACCACTTGTTGTAGCGCCGAATGGTGCTGTTTCGAGGGTCTAATACCTCACCAAAAATCCACTTCGACTTGGAGTCCTTAGTCCTGAACAGAGAGTGAATTCAATCTTTGTGTCAAGATCTACACACGCATAAGCGAGGACCAGGAATATGACCTCTGCAGCATTCAAAGAGCTTTTTGATGAAGAATCAGAAGCTTGTGATGAAGTATCTCTGGGAATCCGCATGAATGCTCACGTACGGTACTGATGAGAGATTTGGCAGTAGCAAATCGAGATAGAGGATTTAAAAAATTGACAAACCTGTAGTATCCAATATGTCTGCGACGCTCTAGACAGGTGCGAGGGGTAGTTTCAAGAGAAGATGGATACTTTTCGCAAACTGTTGAATGGAAAAGGGGAGGACCCACTCCAGAGCAGGCATAGCAGAGAATTTCCTCTCTGTTGCTCTGAATTGAGTCCAAAGACGAGTAGCTGTTGAAGCGGTGGTACTCCATCTTCTTCGACGATGCAGCGCCTTTGCTTCCACACGCCCGGATGGCACCCTGCAAACAATGAACTCAGTACGTGGAACCAAAACAATACACGGTTACAGTCCATTCAATTCTTTCAAATGCTGAAGTTCGCTCACTTGAGCTAAAAGAGCAAATGGGGCTCTCGATCCAAAAAAACAGTATTCCTCTGATCTCTCCCACGGACAACTTCAACTCAACAGCCGTAACGTGAGGTTGGCTTCATGGGACACACGCCGGACTGCACGACTACCCCATGACATGCTCTTGCAGAAGAATTTAGCTCACAAAATATGCACTAGATTCTTGAGAAAGGTTGGCCTTGAAATTGCTCACAGGCTGAGTCATAGACCTACGGAATTCATGTTCTGAGCATGCTCATTCTTTCGGATCTGTCGGTATTCGCCCCGGAATGTGCAACCTTGGTGAAACTAGCTAGCAACGTACCTGTGAGAGAACATGCGCACTCATGTTTGCCGCAACTCTTCTTCGTCATCAACACTGGATAGATGCCGATCTTGCCGATTGTTTTGCCAGATTTAGCGCCAGGCTGCAGATATGAAGCATGGGGAGTAGATCATCGTGCTTAATGATGTAGTTGTGAATTTCATAAAGCTTTCGTGAATTAATGTTGACAATGACCTCGGACTCTCGCTGGTTCAGTTATTTCAGACACGCTGCTTCCAGTACTGTACCTTTTGTTCTGACGTTCTTTGGGACCATCACTCATTCTTTAGTTTACTGTACCGGTAAGTAATTCTTTCCTTGTCTCTATTTATGGACACTGGTGTGGAATCTTTACCATTGCTATATGTGAGCTTTAAACATATGCATACCGCCACAAGAAAGAATCGCAGTGTAATTATAAAGAGGCTAGAGATTCTTAACCTATTATAAACCCAACTAACCTGAAATCTTTACAAATTCATCAAGCGCCACCTTCAGCTTAGTTTTGCGATACCTTAGCGATCTGTTTTTTTTTTTTTTTTTTTTTTTTATTATTATTATTTTTTATTGGGATAATACAGTGTTGTTATCGTTCTTAAAATTTACTCAGTCTGAAAGGCTGTAATGAACGTGCGAAACTATCAGGTTTTCCTGCAACATGGTACGCTTTGATGCATCAAGTCCTAGATGCTCGTTTGAATGATGTAACCTGATGTAACCTGGTGCAAGTAACCTGATTTAACCTGCTGCTAGCTGTGTAACCCGATGTAAGTATTTCTGCCCAGAAAAATGTACACAACAATGCCAGGCGCCTATGTGTCAACTAGTAGATCTCTCAATAATAGATAATGGCTCTGAAGAGCATTCAGAAGACATTCACCCAAGCGTGAAAAGAGCAGTACGATCCCAACAAAGTTTATCCGTGTCAATGTCTGGCCTTCACCACTTCGATGGAACTCTCATTCGTGCATACAGGAGGTATCGTTTCTCTTTCACCAATCCATCAAACATGGACACATTCTGTCTCATATTGCAATGAGAACAAAAAAACATTCCAAATACTTTACAGGTTCCTACCACTCCTCGGTCCCTCATCGTAGAATCCAAGTTGTGAGCCACAAAGCTCTATAATAAAAGTTGCACCATCCAGGTCAGCTTATCATTGTCCTGAACGCAACACGTATTCTAGCCCTGGAAGTTATTGACGCTGGTTATATGAGCGGCTATGTTGGGAGTCAGTGGTCTAATTCCACCAACGCATTGTCGTACTGTACGAAGGCGTCCTTGTGAGATGCGGAACGTGGTACCAGAAGTGGTAAGGCATAGTACCATATGCCGTTCGCTTTTATTTGTGAGAAGTGGCAATTGAGGTCACAGTTTGTGTCGTCGTATGATTCCAGAGGGCAGACCAGCGACTAGAGAGGGAGACCTTTGTTACGATCCAAAGGCAAACAATAGACACTTGCATTCCACGATTGTACTATTTCGAAAAACAAATATACTAACTTGTGCAAAAACTTTGTCGGTTTTTCATCTTATGTATGTTGTTTCAGTGATTCAGTTCGCGGCTCATAGTGAGGGTGACATTTGTGTTTGAGAGGAGATTTTGTGTGTGTGTCTGTGTGTGTGATGATTATATGGAATTCACTCTCAGAAGGCATACTTCAGCTTGTGACTCGACCTTGTGAACGAATCCTTCACTGCTAAAGGTGTTTTGTTGAAGAAGACAATGATCAAATCATGGGCTGCTGCCTTTTTTGAACAGTCACATGACTATTCACAAGTTTGGCCTCTAAGAGGCATTCTATTAAAAGAAAATTATAACCTGGTTTCAGAGTTTAATGAATTTTCCACACGGGATTCGAACATATTCAACACGACTTCCCCCAACAGAATTACCACAGGTCGCTGTTCAATTCTCCTCCGCCCCTTCCATCTTTATTAAATGCTATCAACTATGACTTGAACATAGTGTTTAGCAAGTGAATTAAATTTTGTTGAAATTCTAACTAACTCTATAGAATCCTCTAGCTGAATTGAAATCAGAACAAGAGCCTTCTAAGATAAATACCGGTATTTATCTTAGAATAGGGAGGTCACAAGGACAAAGACACAAAAGGACAAAGACAATAGGGAGGTCACAAGACAGCTGGAGTAAAACACAATATCAAACAGAATCTAACCTAACTACCAACTATCATTATGCAATAAAGGAACAATAGACAAAGAACAAGAAGTCACTTGATGTTTTGTGTAAACCACTAACTTACAAGTCTCAACGTCTTCTCTTGGTACTGAGTGAACCAAAAAACCATAACTATGGGCAAATCAAAGCAAAGGTTGAAGGATAGATGTTGCTACAATGTTGATAAAGATGGTAAGAAAGTATGCAAAAATATTGTAGTTGGAATTATTAGCCATACTATAAAGAATGCATATTATTTTTTAATTAGTGTAGTGAAGTTATACAATTAATAAGAAGCATAAGAAGGTTATCAACTCAAAGAGAGTATGTTCTAGTATCAAATATAGATTTTTTAAATCTTTTAATAGTATTTTATATTTAATTTTAATAAAACTCTCAAAAATAATTGATTGTCTTTGATAAGGAAGATGATTTTGAATATAATCTTGTATGTTAGCATTTAAGATGATTTCATGTTGAAAATTAGTTTGATGAAAAAAGAGTCTTGTAGAATACCTTATAGAATTGATACTAAGATAAAGATGAGTTATTTAGTTATATATTGTACTTTGATATTAATTAATAAAACAAGACGGTTATTATTGACTAATAATTCAACATACATCATTTTAATAGCAATTTTATTAAATTGGTAAAAAAATAAAGGTTATATTTGGTTTAACTAAAAGACAAACTAGCATTCTACAAGTAAAGATTAATTTCTTCATATCAAGCTCTTGGAGATTGCTTAAGATCATAGATCAATTTTTTTAGTTGGCAAACTAGAAGTTCTTTGCCTTAAACCACAATGCCTAGTAGTTGTTATGTAAAAATGAATTATTTTAAGTGTTTTATTGAGAAATACAATAATTACATCAATGTCAAAAAGTAACCATCCAAGAAAGACTCTGAGTATAAATAATGGTTTGTAAAGTAGTCCATACAACAATTTATACTAAGGTCTCTTCATAATCAATGCCATTCTTTTGTTCAAATTTGCAAGCCACTAATAAAGTTTTTAATTATTGATGAGTTAAATTTATGATTGATTTAGTGTAATTAATCCATCAAGTAGTAAGAACATGTGTGCCTGGAAATAAAAGGATTAAATTCTACATGTAATTGCAAAAAAAAATTAAATTAAAATTTTGAAATTATTGTTTGCAAAAAAAAAAAAAAAAAAAAAAAAAAAATCTTTTCTTATTCTAAATAAAACCAAATTCTTTTTTAATTCCAAAAAATCTCTGTACTTATATAGCCATTATCATCTCCATCTTGCAATGGAAGTAGAATATTAGTTAGGTTAAATGGACCATTAGAAATAAGGTGCTGAAAAAAGAGCAAAAACAAAGGTGACATTAGAAAATAATTTTCTTACAATTTTTTTAATAAAAATAATACTTCTATTGATGATAATGCATCTTTAAGTGGAATTATATGATTATTATGCTTTGATTTGATTTTCATAATTTATAAATATAATACAAAAAAATTTAGCACCAAGTTTAGATTTAAGATAAGGTAGGAGTAAGACGTATGCAATGCATCCTAAAACCTTGAAGTGTAAGATAAGTTTTTTTGTAGAGATATTCAAAAGAAATATTAAAATAAATAATTTTGATAGAATAAGGATTTAAAATTTGGTTAATATTTCTTATAGATTTTAGCCATAAAAAAATAAAAAAATAGATTTGATAAAAATATTAGGAGCTGCTTCTAGTAATGACCAAATTTTTAATTTTGCTATTCCATTCTAATGAAGAGAACATGAAAATGTAAGTTATCCATAAATGTCCTTTTTATTATGTTAATTTAGAAATTTAATAGAAATAGATTCTCTACTCCAATCAATTTTTAAGACTTTGGTCTGAAATTTAAGTTTAATAGTATCAAAATACGTAAGAATAAAAGTCAAGATGGAGCCACATAAACCAATTTGTAGTAATCCTAATGGTCAAGTTGAATGAGCTGTTGTATGCTTGGAAATACAATCTTAACAATACTTTGTCTTTCCTATGAATTTTACAAGAACAATTTGATAGTTACAATTAACAAAGGCCATTTATAAGTTATTTTTAAAAGATGTAGTAAATTCTTTTATGAATAATATACAAAAGTTGTTAATGCCTTAAGATAGAATCATTCAAGAAAAAAAACAATAAATGCAAGAATATGATCATTTGTCTCAAAATCGATATTAACAAGTATTCAAATATTACAAATGTTCAAAAATTAAAAATCAATCTAAAATTTGTATTTGTAGAGATTATTAAAATAATATCAAAGATATATAAGTGAGTATGATTGTGGTTATTTTGATAATAAATGAAGTAAGATTTGCAATGGAAATAATTCTATTGCCATCATCAGTAAGTTTGCTTACAAAGAAGATATTCTATTTCATACCAAATATATATTAAATATATAAAATATTTTTATTTATTTATATATATATATATATAAAATTAAAATTTATTGATAGCCATGATATGAAAAAAAAATTAAAAAGAATTAGTTGCAAAATCAAATAAATAAACTATCAAGAAGATGAATCTCAAAAAAATAAAAGATTAATAAACTCTTGTGTCACTTAAAAAGACTAGAAAATCATTCAAAGATGATATAATATTATACTAGAATGGCTATTGCCAAAGATAAGAAGATTAAAAAGTCTTGAAATAAGACTATGGACTAAAAAAACATTGACAAGGATGAAGAAGGCTTCATTCTTATCTCTATATATATTTTTAACTAAGAGTTGTGTAGAAACGTTCTATAAGACCTCCAACATAAGTTCAATTTATAAGAATTCATGTCTTAACTTACAAAATAAGTTTCTTATAGAAATGCCACATCATTAGTTTGTATCATAAGCTAGCTACATGTGCGACACATGGCTAAGTTATTGGTCAAGTTTCTAATCTATTCAATTAATTGTAAATATATATAAAATCAAATATGTTTCTATAAA